GGGAGGAGAAGATTACAAGGGAAAGGCAAGAAGCAGCACAAACACACAAAAGGAACAAACACCAGTCTCGGGAAAAGCATCGCCACGGCCCTCGCCCTGGCCGGCGACTCCACACCAGCCCTCTCACACTAACACCATCGCAGTGCCGTCAGTCCGCGGGTGAGAGGATTCGGCCCTCCACACAACAAACGCACACACCGCCAGCAGCCACCCACCATGGAAGAGGAGAAGAGACCCAACGCCACCATCGCCTCCAGTTCAATCCCACGGCCAACGGGATACGGCCGCAGCCCCGCAGCCAACACACAGCGCAAAAGGAGCGAGCTATCACCACAGAGCCACACACGCAGAAGCGATTCCTCACCCACCCATGACGCGCCGCCTCAGTCCATGCGGTCACGGAGTGCACCACTTCCTCAATACAACTTATTCGTCCATCCCTTTAAGACGCTTCTGTTAGTGATGGGCCTTAGAACACAATAGAAGAAAATGGACAATGCAGTAACGCCGTGACACCGCCAGCCACAATGATTCCCTCATTCCGGGGCAATTCTCCAATTATGCCTTGTATGCGCACACACAATTAACATACTATATGAAAATCACCCAACTTTTTCCACCAGAAAACAAACAACCCCACTCCACCCCTAATTTCTTCTCTCACTGTTATGTTCGATAGCGTTGGACGTTCCTGGCCTTCGTGTGCGGTGCTGCCGCATGGTGCTGGTGCACCCGCACCGTATGCATGCACACACAAGCATCCAAAAATATATATATCCCACATTATTTTTTACCGGAAATCAGAACCGCCCCCTTCCCTCCCCAATTCCTTTTCCCATTTCCGTGGCTATTCCTCACTTCGGAGAGCTGCGTCTCCTCCAAAGCCCCAGATGATATTGACACTTGGTACTGGCGCACCTCTTCCTCCCGGAACCCCGCAATCTCTCGGCTTTCATCGTCGCTCACACTATCTGAATTGACGACATCACATCTCTGCCAGCCATTCATCGGCGTTCTGTCTGCGTGCTGCACATAAATAATCTCCCACGACATGTCTCGGGATAACTCCTCCCAACCATTAAAATACGCCGCCAGGCACTCAGTGAACTGCCTCACGGTGCTGGCGGTGATGTGGTGCCCTCTCGTCGTAGTCATCCGCAGCCCAACCAGCGTCTTCGGATTAGAGTCCACAAAGAAAAAGGCGTCCACCAGCGGAAAGTTTTGGACTTTCGGCTCATACAGCACCCAGTGGTCCATAGCAACCGGATTGGAGAGACGTTCCTGTGGCGATAAAACCTCTTTTCTGGTGAAGCTCGTGTCTGAGTGCTCTTTCAGCGCACAGCTGCGTGGCTCACGTCGTCCCGGTGGCCACAGTTCCTTGATTTTAAGTCTTATCGCACGCAGGAAATCCTCATTCAAAAATGCGGATGCGGCACACTTTTCAATAAGATATGGTGGGGCATAATCCCAGAACCTCAGAACGAAAAAAATAAAATCGGACTGCTTCATTTCATTCTCCAACCTGGACAAAGTTTCACGTTCGAGGTGGGGAGATATCAGTAAATTCAGAGGCGACTCAATGTTGTTTCCTCGTCGTACTCGGACAACCCTCACAAGCTTTCGAGACAAGTCGCTGTCGTTGGACGAGTAACAGCAGCCAATACCCAAATTATGCTCTAATTCAGAGGCGGTCGACCCACCCACGGCCTGCTGACACGCTTTAATGCGGTCATCATATGCCTGTTTGCCAAAGATGAAGCGGAGAATTGGTCCCACGTTATTCATGCGACCCCTCACCTCCCTCCAGTACTCCGCTTGCTCCTGCAGGGGTCGATTGCGTTTCATCCAAATGCACATTGCCCTCACATCGTTTTCTTCGGGACAATTCGTTACGATTGCAGTAGCGTCCATTTTTTTTGTCCACCGCTCATATTCGTTTTTGTCTGGTGGTGTCACCACAATCATGCCCCATCCCCTGCAAGGCAAACCAGCGGCCGGTAGAAAAAATGCCAATGTCGCATCGTAGATACAATACCCCTTCACCCCACGCAAAGAAAAAATGTTTACAACATCAATCCCGGGGTCACCCCTGTATGTTGATACCGTTTTGGTGTTCTTGTCAAACAGGAATGATTGACTCCCAATAACGTACGCAACCATTGGGAGCTTCTCGACATCGCAGTGCGGCAGCTGGTAGAGGAGGTACGAGCCGGCAGCCATCGACTTCCCGATCCCGGGCGTCCCAATCAACACACGCCGCCCAGGCGTAAAGTAGGGCTCACCGTCAGTGCTGAACCACTCGGTGAGATCGCGCTCGACGATCCGCCACACTCGCTCCACCTCACAGTTCACGTAGCAGTCACGAGTGGATTTGTTCTCCTTCCATTTCCACGAGTACGGCCCTTCCCTTGTCCGAGGCGAGCACCATCAGTCTGGGACGCGGCCATGCACCGCCCCGCTCCATCTTCTCACCTCTCAATTCTTGCGTGCCCGCACAAAGCAGCAAACACAATCAGAGCGCACACAAACCGAATCATCCCCCTCACTCGCTAAACCAAATCATTCGCATGGAGTGGCATTTAAGCACACAGCACCAGTAGCAGGCTGCATGGAATTTCCCCGCCAGCCCCGCAAGGAGACACAACAACTCTACCGAATCAAAGTGACAGCCCCTCGGTGCTGCCCGCAGTTCACATGACAGGACAAACTCCACGCACGCATAGTTCCGGACTCCTCGCTGTTTGAGTGCACACCAACAGAACAAGTGAAAAAGATACGTGCGCGCAAGACGGCGGTTAAATACGCGAATGCTTTAGCCTGTTTTGTTCGATAGCGTTGGCGAGCGATCCCACACAGTCCAATCAAAGTGGCACGCCGGACAGAATGGCGTCAGCCAATAATAAATGAAAATAATTGCGCCAATGCAAAACGCAGCAGGAATTTGGGTTTTACTCCCAAATTCGGGGGCGACGGTGGCATCAGAGTGTGTATGTGTGCAGGGCCCTTCGTGGGACGGTGCTGTCCAATCCCGCCGTGCCCTGACACAAAAGGGCGACAGAAAAAAAAAATAGGAGCACACTCTCCAGAAAAGGAGTGACGGTTGGGCAGTCAACCCCCGTTCCTTCTCACGTGACATCCACATATGCGCACTCCACCTCAAATACGTACGTCTCTGGACGCCGCATGCATGAAGTGTGGTTTCCTCACTCGCAATGTGTTTTTCCTCCTGCAAGCAACCAAAAAAATAATAATAATAATGGCCATGGCGCAGCTCCACTCAGGGGAAGCAATCGGAGCAGACACGAGTGGGGCCAGGGATCATACCAAAAATATATCTAAAAAGGGGGCAATAACTCCCCCAAGCCGCAGAATCGTGCAGTGTCCATCCCTCTTCCTCTAAATTGAAGACCTCCTCGACAGAACAAATGCAACAGACACATGTGCAGCACAATATCTTTTGCTATCCCGCGTTAAATCTTACCTCCCATGCGTGCCACGGAGGTGGTGCCGGCGTTACATCCGGGATGACTCCAAAGTACCGGGCGCCATGCTGTGGAGAGTGGATGCTTGCCGCACGTGCCCGCGTAAGCGTATAACACAAAATGGAACACAAAAGAAAACTATCCACGACTCAAGCTACCCGTGTGTGGCCGTCCTAAAGCAAAAAATGAGACACGTGTGGAGCAACTTCAAAAAAAGTGAAAAAGTGGAGGAAGCCACCAGAGTAATCCAAGAGAACACACCAGTATGTAAATACAAAAAGAAATACATCATTCCGCATAATTCCTCGTTCCTTCTCTCGCTGTTCTTTCTACACAACATCAGAAGTGTAAGAAGTGACAGGCATGTCCTCCCACACAGTCATCGTGGAACAGGAGAGAGAGTCACTGCAAGCACCCAGACAAAAATAGAAACAAACCAACAATCAATGACGCTGTCGAGCAGAGTACGATCGGTGACTGCGCAGCCGCACAGCCGTGGCACCCACGCCCTCCCTCATGTCAGCCAG